GGCTGTGTTGCAGGCGAAGGCATCGCTGGAGAGCGCGCGGGAGGCGTCGGAGCAGGCGAGGAAGACGGTGGAGTCCAGCCTGCGGGAGCTGCAGGAGCAGAACGACGACCTGAGGAGGAAGGTTCTCGGGATGGAGACGCATCTGAAGGAGTACGAGCGCTTGGGCGAGAACTGGGAGGGCTCCCAGGCACGGCTCAAGGAGAGGGTCACCAAATTGGAGGTACTGGGGCTGTGGCCCGTCCTGAGCTGGCCTGAGCTGTTCCCCTGCCGCCGGAGGGAGTTTGAAGGCAGAGTCTTTGCAGGCAGAGTGCAGGCAGATGGAGGAGTCGCTGGGCGAAGCCTCGGAGCGGGAGCAGGAGCTGCTGTTGGCCAAACGGTCCCTGGAGACCCGTCTGGAGGAGGCCCAGCGGGGCCTGGCCCGGCTGACGCAGGAGCACCAGGACCTGTGTGTGTCCTACCAGGACGAGCAGCGGCAGAAGGAGCAGCTCAAGCGTGCCAAGAGCGAGCTGGAGGAGCAGAAGCGTCTGCTCGACCGCACCACCGAGAAGCTGAACAAAGAGGTTTGGGACGTCCCATCGAAGGCCCCCATCCCCTGGGGCACCATGTGCCACAACACCTGGTCTTCACGCCACAGGGTGGGGATCTCTGAGACCATTTGGGCAACCTGGTGTAGCAGGAGGTGTCCCTGCCCACGGTAGGGCGGTTGGAATGAGATGATCTTTAAGGTCCCTTCTAACCCAAACCATTCTGTGACACTATGAGATGTAGTCACTGGGTTCTGAGAGGGCTCTAGGACTGACCACAGAACTGGTTTCCCTGCAGACCAGATTGGGACCAATCCTTCCCTGATGTCCCAGGAGACTCCCTAAAACCACACTGTCTCCAGGGACCAGCTTCCCCTGGCGTCCCAGGGCCACACTGTCCCCTACCCTTCCCCAGGCTGCTCCTGCTCCGAGTCTGGGCTCATCCAGGCAGCTATGGCAGGGCTCACACCCCTCACCATGATGCTCCTAAGCCCATGGAGCAGAAATGTCATAGCCACGGGTATCTTCTCCCACCTCAAGTCCCACCAGGCTACCCATGACAGGGCGTGCAGGTGGGTGCCCAGTTCCTGAGCTGTCCCTGCTCGGCCACAGCTGGAGCAGATGACGGAGGAGTCACACAGCTCACTGGCCATGCTGAAGTCACAGCTCGAGGAGTTCAAGGAGAAGTCACGGAAGGAGATCACAGATTCCCAGAAACAAGCCAAGGATCGGGGCGCTGAGGTGGAGAAGATGCAGTTCAGCATGGGCCGGCTGCAGGACGAGGTACGGCGAGGGTGTTGGTCTCTTCTCCTGGGTGTTGGTCTCTTCTCCCAAGTAACCAGCAATAAGGATGAGAGGCAATGGGCTGAAGTTGTGCCAGAGGAGGTTTCAGTTGGATGTTATGAAGAATTGCTTCCTTGGCAGAGTGCTGAGGCGTTGGCCCAGGCTGCCCAGGGAGCTGGTGGAGTCCCCATCACTGTCAAAAACCATGTAGATATGGCACTTGGGGACATGGCTTCCTTGGCAGAGTGCTGAGGCGTTGGCCCAGGCTGCCCAGGGAGCTGGTGGAGTCCCCATCACTGTCAAAAACCATGTAGATATGGCACTTGGGGACATGGTTTTGTGGTCATGGTTGTGTTGGGCTGATGATTGGACTTGATGATCTCAGAGGTCTTTTCTAAGCTTAATGATTCTATCTGGGCACTGGGCACTGTGGGGCACGGCCGTGCCAGGGGCAGGAATGGGTTTGATCCACCGGCTGAGCAAAACCAGAACCACCCCAGGGGCCTCTTTCAGGCTGACCGAGGT